AATCTGATTCAAAAGCGTCTGTGATAGATCACGTCGAACTGAAGCACTTTAGAAAGAAGCTGATAACTTTTGGTTTATTTGATACTTATTCTTACACGGTTCATAAGGTCACAGCAGAAACATAACATGGAAATGCCCTACCACTATGGCTCCCCCTTTTCTTTCATACGCTCGTCCTTCAGAAATACAAGGGAAATATGACGTCTGTAATGAAGGATCTAGACTTATATGGGACTAGGCAGAGATAATTCTATCCGAAGAAGATCGGTCCACTTACAAAAATACCTGAATGAGAAGGGATCAATGCTGTCAACTATGCTCGTTATCAGAATGGTTATACCATGAAAAGATTGAGGACCATCTTTCAAAAATGAACCCGGACGCATTTCTTGCGTGGCCGAACCCATAGATCATGATGTATGCCTATCTTTTACTTGGACTACAAAAATGCATTCTTCGAGATCCCCACAGAGCGGTATTCAAATTAAGACTACAATCATATAGATTCGATACATGCTTCAATATTGGACTAGTCCTTGAATAGTTCAAAATGATGTGGTGGCCAAGATATGGACCGCTTAAAGAAAGTATGCCTCTCATGAATTTAGTCCATTATGGTTTTTTTACCGTTTCGGACTACTAAATTCAGTTCTAGCAGTTGCCATCTCACGAAACTGGCCCATTCGCCAACTTGACGTGAAAAATTTCTTCCTCCATGGTCTTTGACTTTAAGAGGTATACATGCAACAACCTCCTGGATTTGTTGATTCTTCTAAGCCTACTCATCTTTGTCGCTTTCATAAGGCCATTGTTGGTCTTCGTCAAGCACAATTGGCATGCTTTCAATGGTTCAGTACCTATTTTCTCCAAAGTGGTTTTCGTCAGAGTGTTGCGGATACCTCTATTTATCTTTCTTCACCATTCCTCTACTGGCCGTATCGTCCTTTTGCTTTATGTTGAAGAGAACCCTGTTCGCCTTTGGTACTTCAGTAGATCTTCTAAAATAAAAAGTGCTACTTCACCCTTAACTACAAGTACATTACGCAAGCCCCGCCGATACCTACCTATATAGTCAAATTTAAATAAAAACGTACCAATGACGGCGACTTTCTAGGTTTATGGATTCAGTCAGCTAAACTCCATCAAACTCCTCAATCAATATCAACAAGATGTCGTGACCGATTAGGCTTGATTTACTTTGGTTTGAATGTATCCTTAGTTAGAGAGAGGGGCTAAGCCTACGTAACGCTATGGGAACAACCTTTTTTATCCGCTTTCAGCTATGCTATATAGATGGGCTAACCTGTGAAATAAAAAATCATATGTAAGTAAGTAGCATCTAGAATAGAATCCAGAGCAGCTAAGAAAACAAATCTAGTAGCTTGCGGGCTGGTCATCATTGCACACTAGCTTGTCAGTGGGGGTAAGAGAGTGTTCCGTTGGTGTTCTCAGTCTTAGTGCGACCTTGCTTAGTCAACAAGGGGATCAAAATGAGCGAGTTTTCGTCCCATACTCAAGTCTGACTTTGACCATCATCTCCCATCTGCGCAAGATGGATTTGGCTTCGGTGATTTACCATTTGAAAGATGAGAGAACACTATCGGCACAAAACCAACAAAGTCTGATTCTGTTTCAACCGTAGGTATTAGTGAATGAATAAAGAAAGTAGGTGTATGTGAATAAATTCATTAAGTCTTAATGCCAATGTCGGTCAATAGGCTTAAAAACAAAAAGAAAATGGAAATAAATGTTGGAGTTTCCTTACTTTTCAGCCCTAAGCTAAGTCTTCCTCAATGACCGATCATTTTTCAGCATATTCCGGTTAAGCCTTAAAGGCAAGAAAAGCTTTCAAGCTAATAAGCTACTTAAGAAAGAAACTAAAGAAAGAAAAGAATTGAAAAGACAGAAAGGAAAGAGTACAAAGAGAGATACGGAAAGGTTGAAAAGCAGGGGATAGGACAGTAATAGGATGGCATTTCCCGTATGAATGGATTAGGTATAGGTGGAAGGAGATAAAAGCTGGCGCATAAGTAATGTAATGATGGCATTCGGGATCGGGCGGAGGCCTTAAATCAGTAGGGCAATAGCATAACTATTATTGACCTGACCCCTATTACATTACTTAAGCCTACTCCTTCTTCAAGATACGAAACGAGCAGCCGAAAACGGTTGTCCCTATTGTATTTTAGATGGAGTCATCTGCAGGACTAAGAATCTAACCTTTACTTAGAGAGGGGTAGAGGTACCATGCTCTTCCGTGCTCGTAGGTTGACTCACCTATGCATCCCGACTAAGGTCTCACAAATGTGCACTTCCCTTATGCATCTAAGCGCTTCACTAATGTGAATAGGTTAAACATAAAGGTAGGTTGGTTATATACTCTTATGCGCCTTCCTTCTTCGAACCTTTTGGTATGTATTGCCCCCTAACTATAGATCAGATCCACCAGACAAGAAACTCAATTTTGCTCTGCTGCTGAGTCGTCAGACTTATCCACCAAGGGATTCGTGGAATTTCTGTGGATTGCGTTGGGGGAAATCTACAGAATCTTCATAGCCAACTTTCCATTTTTGATAGAAAGTGTTGTATTTGGTACTACTATTATTTTACACGATCCAGGAACTTCCATAACGTTGGCGTGATTCGGTTTGAGCAACAGATCCTGACGTGAGATATTTTCGTAATGAAAATAGAATGGAAATATGAGTTGATCCATAATAAATAATAGATTGAAGCTCTCTTAAAGAAGACCGCCAACTCCTATCCCGAAGATACAAAGCGCCTGGTCCTCTTCTCTTGTGTCGAAGTGTAGTGTAGTATGGTAAGGTTTTGCCTCACAGAAAGAGTGGAAAATTGGGAGAAAAAAATGAAAAATTTCGAATCTAAAAATAAAAAGAGATTTTTTTCCCCAACGACACAGGAACTTACGGGCGGGGCATTTTCGGGGACCAGCCCGCTTCCCATTACTCAATAGGGTAATTCCTCGCACATAATTAATGGAGCCATTGAAAGGTGACTAAAACGCCAGAAACGGGGACAACCCGAGCTAATGATAGAGGCAAGAATACTTTTCGGACAAGTCCCATTAATTGATTATAACGATATCGTGAAAATGCTACACGGACCCATATATATAGGAACAGAAAAAGAATCACCTTGATACTAAACCAGATCGAGCCCGGGATCTTCTTGGAAATGGGAAGATCTAGGATAGGCGGCCAACCTCCTGGAGAGAGCGATGTGCANTAACCTCCTGGAGAGAGCAATGTGCATAGACCAGGTGAGTAGGGATGCAGCTCCGTGGACCGCTCGTCGGGCATGATAGGTGGTGCTATCATACCCTTCTCAAAGGAACCGTATGTGACACTCTCACGTCATACGGCTCCATCCCGGAAGCAGGACCTTTCCTTTCCTTTGACCAACGGGTCCTCAAACCTTTATGATTTCGTGCCGAACCTGATCTCCATCTTCGAACTTCTCATTCGATCAGACCCCAGGTCTCGCTATTTCCGTTTACTAGGTCATGCCTTAACCTCTTTAGAAAGCGTAGTTCGCTAGCTACCAACATATCTTTTACGTCATCGACCACATAGTCCGCAGCGTCTTTCACTGCATCGCATTTTTCGAGGCTGAATCCCCTTTCTTGAGCGATCGCCTTCGCTCGTTGGCAGAACGCCTTGATGCGTGCGTCTAGTTTGTTGGGGTGACACTCCGCTTCTTTATACTCTTTGGAGGCGAGAAACTCCCCTTCCCTTCTCCTTTCTTACTCTTCCGAGGATGGTTCAGGGGGAGCCGGTTCCGCCTCCGGCNAAGAAACTCCCGTTCCCTTCTCCTTTCTTACTCTTCCGAGGACGGTTCCGCCTCCGGCTGAGGAGGTAAATTTCAATTGTTACGCGGTAGCTTCGATGAGCTGGGACGTGGAAGTGAAAACCCTAAAATTTAAACCCTACCCTTCTTTGCTACTCACTATCTAAGGCGCAAATCCGAAGTCGGTTCTCAAGGCCCAGAAGATCGGAGATTGAATACCCCTATGTTCCAAGTGACTAGCTTGGCTGGTGATGCGTTCACCCACTGGCACGCTTCCTTGCAAGCACGAAATCCTTAGTTCGCCCGCTACCACACGGGCCAGTGTACTCTTATCGCTAACCCCAAAAGAGGCTATACTTTAACAGCCAACAGACTCATTATCCCTGGCCGCAAGGATTAAGAAATAGCAATGTATCAGGGGCTGAGCGTACCTTCCGCTTTGGAACAAGAAATGGAGTTATTAAGTTATAGTGCCTCTTTCCTTTTTCTAGCTCTTCTTTGGGGTTCCGTATCGATGCGTGTATGTTGTTTTTGGCTCAGTGATTTTAGTGAAGTGTTGGGGAAAATCCTACTGGGTAGTAGGTCGTGATTTTTTCACCTTTTGAGCTAGGTATTTTTCGCATAAAAATACTTGTGTTCTTTACTTTCCGCATTTATTATTCCGCAACATTAGTATAAGGAACACATAGAAAAACCAGGTCTTTCTATAATCTGTACACGCGAAAAATTGGATACCACGGAAATCACCCCTCTTGTGTGGTATTGAATTACAAAACATCAAAAACCAAAGTACAGAACTTGCCTACTACTGCTTTTTCCTGATCATAACTACAATCTGCTGTCCAAACTGTATACTCTAATAAAGCAATGTCAGATTCTTCTTCTAAGAGTTGGTATGCTTGAACTAAAATAGTGGTTCATAGAGGTTCAGAATGTAGACTGTTTGACCGGATGATTCAGCTCCTAGCTCTAGCATCAAGTCTCACAAGTGTGACAAGAGCATACGACTTCCATCCCATTTGGTTGTCTCAATTTAAGTAGGTATGGAGTTTTGAGTGAAGTGTAAAAACCACAATTTATTTTTATTTTTTGAGAAAGGTAATAGTTGTATTAAGATGGCACTAAGGAATGCTGCAAAAATATGTACATCAGTTTCTCAAAGAGCAAAGACAAATTCTATCCCTTTTCGCCTTCAAGCCCATCAGCAAATTTCTATCATATTATCATCTCGACATTATTAACTTCACCAAATCCAATATCCGAACATAGTGAAAAAATAGAGAAGATTCTTTCCCTTCAAGCCCATCCCTGCTCACCCTATTACTGCCTGTAAGGTTGTTGCACGGGCTTCCACCAATTACTAAATCAAACCTTCCATATGAGTCTATGAGCTTCTCCAAGCGATCTCCATTCAGTTGCTGCACATCGTCAAACTCTATAAGACTCCCTCTCTGGTTAGTTTGCTCCCACCAACTTCTCATAATATTTCTGTTGACTTCACATATTTCCACCGAAATCACATTCTTCAATCGAATACCGAGACGGTAAAGAGCAACTTCAGCACCACCAATTCCAGAGAAGAGTGATAAGACGTTGATACCATCTGGAAACTTTTCTTTCAACACCGATAAATGGTATGCCACTGTGTCAATCTAGAAATATATTGTAACAAAGAAAAGAAACTAAATAAGTCAATGGACGAGTTGCAAACCCAAGATTTTGGGGAAGAAGGAAAGAAAACTTGGATATATATATATCGAGAATCAGAAGAAAGAAAGTTAAGCTAACCTGGAACGAGTTACCAAGCGACTTGTATCTATCGGTCCTACTTATACCCCTGGTATGATTCTTTGGAAACCCTAATAGCATTTCAACTTCATCAGGCTCCAAAGGAGCAACTTTGTTTCTCCCAACCCACACCAAATTCCACTTCCGACATTCATCAAGAATATACTTCTGCACTCTCATAGGTGGCTCACCATTGAAGTCCTCCATAGCTTTCCTGATTCTATCCGTCAATCTTGCACTCGCAATGGATGTTTGCAAACAATTTAACTGTGTCCGTGTATCCCAAGATGGCCACCATTTCTTTGTTAGGGGAAGTGCCTCATGAATGGTACATGGGGGGAGTGGAAGCAAAGGAAATCTATTTTCAACGGGCAAATTATGAATATATCCCCTTTTTCTTGCAGCAGAACAAAAATATTTTGAGTCAACAAACTCAGGCTCAATATCATACAAGAATCTGGAAATGGCATCCCACACACCCTTGGGAGCTAGAGCAACATTTTCGTAATAGAAAAATGGGGGGCCAATAGCTTGCTCCGGAAGAGTTCTTTTGGCCATTGGTGAAACTGATTCGGTAGGAATCCCGTATCCAATCATATGTTTGGGCAATCGAATTGTCTCTTCATCACAAATCACCCTTTGCTTTTTCCTTTTACATAATTCATTATACAGCGTCCTCTTCATGGATCCACCACTACCATTCAACATATGCTTTAGTTTTGGCTGTCACAATGGAAGGAAGCTAAGGCATGATCAGTTAATGAAAAATGATATTGCTAATTTGTAGTTACAAATGCGAACAAAGTAGAATAAACTATTAGTTCACATGAGTCCATTTCAAAATACTGCAAGGGGAAAGCATACCTTTACATCTTCTGGCAGATAGGCGTCTTCTTCTCTTGCCATTTGAGCAGCGTAGATGAAATCTGTCAATTCAACAAGCGATGCTCCTGGACCTAGAGAGTTGTGAAGAGGACTATAATAATCTGGAAATGAATTTAAAATAGGTGCTGCAATTCTAAAAAGATATTCAGGAACATCGCAGCGTCAACAGCGTTGGCACAAAGTTGGCTAGGAACTGAACTTACTAGCGTCTACCTAGAACTTGCATGAGAAAGATTTCTTCAGCTAGTGATAAAACATTAGAATAATTAATACATATCAAAAGCGAAACTAAATGTCTAGCTAATCCGATAAAAGATTTTGATAACATTAGCAATATAGAGGAAAAAACATAATTTAATATACGCACCACATCTCTCCATTGCTATGGAAGCCTCCTCCACTTGGTATCCCATATTTACCAAGAGTTGCTCTTTTTCAAACAAAGAACTGCTCTCGTCTTTCAAGTAGCATTGTTTAGCAGAATACTATCACACGTTATAAAAGGAAAATGTTAGAAAATCTTTACATAATTGTGCCCATAAAACTCATAACAGGATTCAGGACCAGGAAATTTTCCGTAAAATGTTTAAAGAAATATTAGTTGATGCATAAATAGAGCTAAAGAAATATTACAGGCCACCATTTCCTCATTTCTAGAAATTACTTCCAAAACAAACCACTTCTCTGTCTCCCAGATACCAATAAAATAAAAAGAAGGAAATATCTTGTGTTCCCTCCAACTGGAAGAGCCTGATCGATGACCGTCAAAGATAGTTGCTGAAAACAGATACCTTTAATTTTATTTGTAGTTCTCCGCATATATGTAAGACTAAACCACCTCATATTAATAATAAAATCTAGTAAGAGAAGAAGCCATGGGTGTTCAAAAATACATAAATGACATGTTACAGAGATAAAAAAAGTGTTCGATCAAAAAATGGCTATATGTATCTTAAAAGAGAAACCGGATCAACTATTTTATATGCCACAGTAAGACACAAGACATTGAAAAGAAAAATGGAGAATGGTGTATGATTGAGGATAACATACTATACAGTCTGAGCCTGAGTCTGAGGACCAACTATCTTCCTCATAAACATCATCCATAAACTTCTCGTTGTATTCAGAAGAGCTATCATCAGAACCAATGCAGGGCTCCAGCTGAGAGCAAGTATTAGGCTGTTCTTCAGGAGAGTCTTCAAGTGCCTGCAACATCCGAAGACAAACAAAAAGTATGAGAGGAAGATAAAATTCATGCATGTTCTTAACATAATTCAAGCCTATCTGAGCTATACAGACAGGATAAAGGACAATTAATTGCCATCATTCGTCGCGGAATCTCACTCTAGACGATCCTATGCAAGTAGTGGCACGTATAGGCAAATATTAGAAGAGCAAAGGTTGGTGAACAAGAATATCTTCAGCCAGTTACCTTCTCTTATAAAATCTAAAATGAGCAGACATTACGCACCTTCAATGTCAAAAGAGCATCCAACACCAAACCTTCATTTTCTCCTGTAAGTCAAAGTAACATAAACACCATAGTTGAAAAAAATATTACCTAGTTGTATAAAGACTTGGCAAATTCAAATACCATTTTGCTCTATTGCTTTTACAATAGATTCTTCACGAAATCCCATCACTGCAAACTGCTGAATGAAGTTGGACTTGGAGGGTACTGATGATGAGCTTGCCTTCCGGTAAGAGAAGACCAAACGAGACTATTAGCTGAGATGCAATGGTATGAACTATTCTCCTTCTTATTTAATTTTGGGGGGTGGGGGGTATAAAAGATGTCCTTAACAAGAAAGATCACTAGATATAGGCTAAAAGCATTTACCTCCCCATCACAACCAGCAGCATGCTGTTCTGTAGTTCTTAAATCCGCGCATGAGGAAAATCTCGTGTCCTGTATTTCTAACTCATCTTCAGTATCCCAGTCAATGTTGTCATTGTCTTCTCCAGAAAGATTCTTGTCCTGCACGGGATTGAAACATGAAATACAAATAAAGAATAAATGTTTTTCCTCCATTATCAAAAATATGAACAAAGAACGACCATATACATTCTTTTCTGATCTATAAGACCAGAAGGAAGTCAAAAACCTGCACAATATTAGAGAATCGAGAAACAAGATAAATTTACCATTGCTCAAGGTATGCCTGAAAAAGAAGTCCAACTTGTTCAACAAGAAGAATAATTCAGCACCCTATTATACATAACACGAGAAGGTAAATGAGATTTACTGCCACTAAAGCTCCACAGAGCAATCATCAAAGCAAAAAGTTAGCCCAGCAAATCTCACACAGAAAACTATCCAAGAACATACCGGATACCTTTTAAAAAGATTAACATTAGGACAAATCAAATCTCCAATCTCATTCACTAAACCAAGGTCTATTTTAAAAGGAAATGAAGAGACGTTGCTCCAACGTTTAAACATGTGGAGTATCTTATACTGCAGATATGAAAGTATGTTAGCTCTATCTTTCTCATCAAGAATGAGTACATAGTACATCAAACTTCATTGGCATCTCGGAAAGTGAACTCTTGATGAATATATAGTGACAACGTATAGAGTATTACAAAATGGAAACCTTCCATTATTCTTTACCTTGAAAAAATGCCCTGCACCTAACCTAAGTGATCGAAACGAGAAACAACCAAAAGAAACTTCAAAAAATTACTGTAAGGGGATATGTTGCACATACTGACCGAACTGGACTTAGTGCAAATAACATTAGCAATTGTTAAGCAATAACTTTACCATAAACACTCATTATATCAAACTAACTGATTTATGTAGTTTCGTCCCTTGTGTACACCAAGAAATTAAATTTCAGTATATATCCCACTAATCAAATGGTGTACTCATTAACTTATTTGATTAAATCTGCTAAATGGGCTATTTAATCCTACTCATTATCTATCTTTATGGGGGATCAAGGGAGTGTTTTTATTTTCACGCTCTTGATTGAGATTAGGGGCAGTGACATGTTAGCTAACTGGGATCAGGGGTATTTGCAATTAGAGTTTTTTTTTTCCTTACTCTTTATTTAAATATAGACACAGTGCTCTTAAATTGACTGCAAAAGAAAAAAGAAAAAAAAGGAATCATATAGTAGGGCAGATTTACGAACCCTGCAGAAAGTCAATGAAAGATTTTGTTACTTTTTTTTTTCTTTTTGATGACTGAAAACTCCGTCTAGGGTCAACGCTTAGGACCACCCATAGCCCTCGAAACTCGGTGATAATGGGCCCACCCTTCTCCACTTAAATATCATGCTTAGATAAGTCGCAAGTCCTTCAACCTTTGCCACTTGAAGGGGTTCCATTCCACTCCATATTTTATATTTAAATTGGCTGTAGGCGTGGGGGGAATGGGGGAGGGGATTACAAGGTGGCGAATCGAACCCTCACCTAGGCAACAAGGTGAAAGTTTTGCTACTATTCTCTCAGTCTTTAGTTTTTTTTTAGTCATTTGAGCATTCACTGTTTTGATTTTTTTTTTTTTTTTTGCCTCAAATCCGCATATCTATCCTTTTAAATAAGTAATTTCATCACAATCACACAGTAATTTGCAAAAAAATTGATCATTATTTATTTCTTGCCTCTACATCGTTTTAGTTTAGGTTAATTGCATGCAGCAAAAACTTTCTATTTCTGTTATAAAGGGAAAAAAAAAAACATCTTTCTTTGCCATGTACTGTGGATACACATTTCTACTGACCTAGCTAGAGGAATGATCACAATAATTTTCCATCGCATGTGGAAAAAGAAGAAACTACTACTAATAGATAAACTAATTCACACAAAATATAATAATAAGACACGCATGCAGATATAAATAAACTACATTTACCAGAATTAGCTTGGGTGATTCCTTGAGAATCAACGAGGAAACAAAGCTAAACACAAAGCTATACAAATGTGTAAATTTTGGAAAGTGCAAGTAAATTACACCAAGCAGTAGAAACTTAGCTGCTTTCTACAAAGGAAAGGAGAGACAAAGTCACTGTATTGGGGCTGAGCTGCGAAATTACATATATCACCTTAACATAAGAACGCACAATAACCAACATGAAGGGTGAAGTAGTCATTTCAAAGCACAACCTTTTTTATGCAGGGACACGTGCTTTCTTTTGTAAAATTTAGGACACGTGCATCCTTATTACTCTGTATAAAATTTGGGACGAGAAAAAAGAAATGCTGGGTTTCGTTTTAACAATACTAGTAATTCTCCTAATATCAAAATAACCTAAGAAAACGGGAGAAAGGGGGTTAATTTACATTTAAAAGTCTAGATTATTAGTAATGATGTTCATTTCTTATAGTACGTGATTCGGGAAACAAATCTTGTTTTGGCTTAATTTTGTACCATATTGTTTTTTTAGTTAATAAGTGATTGCAACTATCCGAGCATTTAAATATATTGGTATACTTAATTCCCTTTTGAGTTTCGGTATTTGTTGTGTATTGTACTGTAATTATAGTTATTAGAAAAATGAGAAGTAAACTAGATAAAAACAAACCTATTTGAAAAGTAAAACATTGCGATAGATTACGCAACAATGAAACAGTCCTTTATAAAAGCAATATTTGAGAGTCGGGAACCAAAGTAAGGTAAAGTATTGATCTCCAAAAGAACCGAAATAATGTATAAAAAAATTAAACTATATATTGTGCATGATATGCATGTGCTGTATTATGGGAAAGGTTTTATATTTTTTTTTCCACACACATGATTGCTAAATACTATAAGTGCGTGTGGTGTTCTTCTGTGGATACCATCAACAAAGAGACGTCCTCCTCCTTCTCAGTCACTTTTGCAAAAGGCATTGGCTTCTTTATGAGAAAATGATAAAAACGGTTTTTTACCTTTGAGAGTAGGTTCATGATAGTCCTTTAAATATATACCTATCAGTTTTAGTCCTTTAAGTATTCAAAACGTTGACAATTTTAGTCTTCATCCATTTAAAAACTAACACCGTTAGTTTATTGCCCCAAAAAAAAAACCAGTTTCAAGTTGTCAACATATGCTTCTATTTTTCGTGTTTTACAGTGCAATTCAATTATTCTGACTAATAAATTTGTGATATTCCTCTCCCTTTTAACAAAATTCCTTTTTTTCTTCTTGGAGAGGTAGATTGAAATGGAGGTACTATTGTGTTTACAACAACATACGTAATAAATAATAATAATAATAATAAGAAGAAGAAGAAGAACCCCATTTCTCAATATAAATGTAGCTGACAGGAGAAAAAGAAAACCCTTAATCAAAGAAAGGGGTTTTGAAAGATGATAAAAGTACAGTGCTACAATGGCATCCTTATTTTCTTGTTCTTTTTTTTTTCCTTTCTTTTTTGCTAAAAGCATCTTTGGTTCAGGAAAGAAAATGTGCAGCTGATGATCAATAGAAAAGCCAAAAAAGAAAAAATGAAAAATAATTTAAAATTATTCCCTTGGTAACAACGAGAGATAAGCTAGGGGGCAATAAATTAAACTAACGTTGTTAGTTTTTAAATGGATGGAGGCTAAAATTGTCAACTTTTTGATTACTTAAAGGACTAAAACTGATAAGTGTATATTTAAAGGACTATCATGAACTTACTTCCAAAGATAAGAGACCGTTTTTGTCATTTTCTCGCTTATTTATCGTACGTGTTACTTACTAATCACGACCATGATGATATCGTTCTTCTGTGATTCCCTATTCAGCTTTGTTTGAGTTTTTCCCTTTCCACTTGTTCCTTCTACGCGCAAAATATTTGGTGATTATGGCTGCTTGTAAGACTTACTCTTCCGTATCCTGCTACTCAATTTTTATGATGAACCATAAAAGAATTTGTAGCTAGCTAATGAGTATCAAGATCTTTCGACTCTTCAATGGAACAGATAACAAAACTAAATTAACATAACATGGACCGCAGGATCTTCTCATTGGTGGTGTGACGAACGCAAAACACACCACAAAATTATTATTCGCTAGTATAGTTTAATTATCGTCTTCACATGTATTGAATTTACACAGTGTTCGAATAATCTTCAATTGATTACTATCCAGAAAAATTAACACTTGATTTGATGATTATCAACTACGATTAACTACTAAAAATTAAGCAATTAATAATTGATCACAAAAGACAGCAGATGAGCAACGAAGAAATATCAACGAGAAAAATAAGGGTAATTGACTAGACATGTGCAAGATAATTGACTCGGGATCTAATTCTTGAGTTAGTTCACTCTATAATACTATTGATTCTCACAAATTCAACAGATAATTAGATTACACTTGAAGTTAATGTTCCTCTATCGATTGAATGTTAATTTCAGTAATTAATCCAATTGAAGCACGGTAAACTATTGCAACAAATAAAATGATGGTTATGGTCAAAAGGGTAACTTCTTACGAATATTTTACTATTTTCTAGTTCGATTAATAATTCAAGAGGCTCTTTCGATTACCTATTTGAATCACGAATTTAGACTAGAGCATAAGATATAAAGAAATTCAATATCAAACTCCTCTTTCGATTAAGCAAAATAATAAATAACTTCACAATACGAATTAAAACCCCATCAATTAGTTCCAACAATTATCAAGAATCGAATTTCTAATCAAGTTATCAAAACACCGTATATGTCAACTCCCTAATGAAAATTACTCCATAGCAATGAAAAAAGTCATCTCAATAAGGTTTAAAAACATAGAAAACATCGATACTAATGATTCGATACAAACTCTCGTATTGCACCGATTGTTGCACTACTAAAAATTCAACAAAAACCGATCAAGGTCGACCGACCAACTTTGGTCGGTTTTCTTTGGCGCAAAAATGCGAAAAATTATTTTTGAGTCCCGCGAAATTTATGTTTCAAGAAACCGACCAACTTTGGTCGGTTTTTCAATTAAAATAAATAAATATTAATATTAAAAAAACGATCAAAATTGGTCGGTTAATTCGGCGGGTCATTTAAAAAAATCGACCAACTTTGGTCGGTAATTTTACTTTTTAATAAAACCGACCAACTTTGGTCGGTTATTTTCGTGCGAAAATACAATTAAAGAGTATAAATCAAATAAAAGACAATCTTAAAACAA